GTATGTAAAAAGAAAAGTATAAGTACAGTATATCTGCTGAACAGATCATAAAATGACCATACTGCAAATCTAAATTATTTCGCAGTAATGAGTGCATCATTGTGAAAGTATAACAAAAAAAAAAAACATCAATGTTGTTAAAATTTATATTTGTGTACCTCCATTCCCCTCTCAATATGCCATCTTTTCCGATCAAGAGTTTTTCTGCTCCAGGTTTGATTCCCGCTTTTTACTATCGACTTCGAACCTTCTTGCTGCCGGAGGGATCTTGTGTTCCTCATAAATGTCACTTATATAATCTTTATTTCTAGGCTGAGTATTTAAATAACACATAATTCATGTATTATTTATATAAGGCCGGCTTTGGTTCGTCTAACCGCATCTCTTCCAGACAGTGAATAAATTATTGTAATGTAATCAAGCATGTAGTGCAAGCGCGTGTTTATGCAAATTTTTTGCACGATCCGACCTCAAGGGATTCTCTTTGTCCGGGGCGCTTTTACATACTTCTAATTGTTATGTAAAAACTGTTATCCCTTCGAGAAATGTCTAATATTTTAGACGTAAGCGCTCGACTAATCAAACTAACCAAATTTCTAATTATTTGAAAATTAGGGCCATTAATCGAAAATTGAAAAATACCAGGACTAGTTCCGTTTTACACCATCGATCCCTAACTTTAAGAAACCATTTAAAAATAAGGGATAAAGGCAGGTGGATGATGATGATGAGACCATCACTCATCACATAACATTAGGTACAGGAGCCTATCTCTATTGATATAATTTAACCGAGTCGAACTACACACTATGTGCACACGTGACTTCTTTCGCTGGTGTATAATATTCGCTTTAGATTTTTATATATATACTTGTATCTATTTAAATTTGACCGCAACGGGTCTTATGTTTTAGTCATGTGACCATTATTTTACTTTACAAAGTTAATATTGATTGTTTATGAACTTAACACCGATTTATGTCAGAGTATATATGACGGGAAACTTTTTGGGTGTGTTGAATTCACTTTATCCATAAAATACGTATAAACATTGTCTATCATGTTAAAACTCTAAAGATACTCTAAGGCATACTCTCCATTAAGTCGCATAAGACTGAGATATGATTGCTTCTAAGTTCCTCCGATAATATTGTTTTTGGTAGAAATCAGGAAATTTGAAACAAGATTATTATGTTTTATGAGATTTTGTTAAGTAATATCGTAATTACCAAAGTAAACCAGTACTCTGCGCAATATCAGACCTTATATATTAATTATTAAAAATATTCCCCATAACAAATTCAACCCAAACCGATGATTAAAATACTAATTAAGGCTCGAAACAAGGTGGCGTCTCGACGGTATTTTAAAAAAAATATGCATAATGTACAATTTTATTTAGGAACAAAATGTGGGCGATTTCGATATACGAAATACAACAACTGTTAAACAAAGCAATAAAGTAAACGGCCGGATGGTTCAACATCGGCGGGTCCCTTCATTTGAATTATTCCACTGAACCTTTCACGTGCTGTCACTGCGACTACGTTCAATGCGGACTTAGCACTTTATAAGCGAATTATAAAGATTCATCCTTTTTATTTATCATGAACATAAATAAAAAAAAACTAACGGATAATAAATAAATAAGACAATATACACAAAAAATCAGGACGATAGATATTTTTCAACAGATTTCATTTCAAGCCATTTGGACGAAGCACGGTTTTCTTTGTATTGTAAGAAAAAGCCAATTCAATGTTGCCTTGAAGACACCTAAGTTACATTCGCACTAGCAAGCTTAAGTACTGTCCACGATACTAACTCAAAAAGCACTGCGAGCGATAATGTACAACCACGCCATCTCATTATATGTCATATTAAATTTTACAATACATTTGTAGTATTTGTAAGTGGGTATTTACATAAAAAAATCACTTGTTATAAACATAACAACATTACACTCTAATTTCAATTCTATAACTCCATGCTCGGGTCCGTAGCTTTCGTGGTGAAGCTGTGCGATAAGCGGCACAGCGTGTAACAAAGGTATCGAAAGGATCTCGTTTTCCGGACACGTCAAATAGTTGAGATTAATCACTTGGCCGCGCGGCGCGATAGGCTACGCGAGAGGCCCGCGTAGACTTTGCTACGTCGCCGTAGCGCGCCGAGCTTCCTCCCAGGCCTACGGGGCCGTGCGAGCGACCTCACTTACGGACCGCCGTGATAAGGGAGCCATGATTCATGTTACGCTCCGTTACCCGTTGCGACTCGAAATCGGTCATGTTCGCTCGCAATTTTGTATAGATACCGTAAGTATTCGTAAGCCGTATATACCGACAGGATGTTACTTTTCTTTACAAGTAAGTGAGGTGACATTTGAGGATGGAAAATTAAAATATTTTTATATTGATGTGACGAATGCAAATGACTAGAAATTAGGACATAATACATCATAACAAAAACTAATAAAAAAGTACGTAAGACGTAAAAAGTAAAGCGTGAGTCAAGAGTTTAATGCTATTAAAATTTACGCGAATAGAAACTATTACGGGAATAGAAGAAAACTCATAGTGTTGCGAATAATATACATATAAAATAATAAAAACTATCCAAATAAGAAAAAATTAATAAAAAGTTCCAATCAGAGGTAACATGTTTTTTTAATAGAATATTGACATGCATGTAACATGTGGACAATAGTTTTATGACCTTTAAGCAAATCCTCCCGTTGACCGACCGTAACCGTAATATTGAGATGGATAAGATTATTAAATGAGAAAAACGCGAGAAGAATTCATAAATGCACTGCAACTCGGATGCTGGTGTAACACGCCGGCCTATAGGTCCCGCGCCTTGGTCTCGACCGACTTTCGTCTTTACCGCGAATTCCGTCAACGGCTTTTGAATATGCACGACGCGCGCAATTGCACGGACAATTTTCGAATAATTTATTCCAATGATCACATTTTTTCCGTGGCACAACTATGCAGCGGCATCCGCTGTTGCATTAAGTGGCAGCATCGATTCGGACAAGTCGTTATTGCAATTGGTGTCACTACTTACAAATGTCCACTGCCGGCAGCTATTACTTCACATCAAGTGAAACGCTTTTTCAAACTACTTCAATAGGCAGAGATGCCAAACCCGGTTGTATTTTTTATTTTTGAATGCTACTCAAATGATATGGAATCATGACGCATCATAAGAAAAGCTAATAAAAAAGGGGACAGAAAAAATAAGACGTGAGTAAGAAGTTGGGTAATTTTCAACCGATCGAAAAAAATATTTTTAAATTATACATCAGGGAACTCCTCAAAACCAAATAGAAAAAGGAGTTTGTTTTTTCTTAATAAAAATGTAAATGACAAAGGTTTTTTAAAAACTACTTCGGTTATATATATATAAAAGCGATCACGTGGTAACAATAAGAACACTTATAGCCACTGTGAAATGGGCAGCAAATACTTTGCTTATGACGTTTTTGAGAGTAAATGAATAACGAACGCATGAAGGCGTTTCTTGTGAAAATTATGACGAGATTACAATCGTCATTTGTTACGTGTGAAAATCTAAATCGCAAGAGCGAGTAGGGTTCAACATAACTACAGTTCACCCTCTGAAGCAATTTTGCAACTTACAATCCAGTGGGATAGTAACTAAGACCACATAGCGTGTCTTAGGAAACTTAACTTTGGTGGAAAACTTATGGCACATGGCGTTGAGTTTATAACTTAAGACCTGATACGTGACTTACATGCATGTAAATCAAGTTGCCACGTCTGTAAACCAATAAAAAGAGAACTTATGAGGCGTTTTGGGCGCGGTGATAGTTCCAATAGTCAATACAAACACAAGCATGTATTCGACCTAATGTTATTGTATGACGTAATTCGCGCGGTACGCTCGATACTAATTTAAAAAGAGGCGACTTTCTACTTTACTTTCTTAAAAAAATTATTTGCTCTGCTTAACTGAATACAATCTAGCATCATTACAAAAGAAGTATATAGAAAAAAAATGATTTCATTCTATAAATAGCAAACACAGCATACATAGTGAAACACAATACAACATTAGGTATAAAGGTTTATCTATTGACTACTATTAAATGAATAAAAACCAAATAAAGCATTATACTTAAGTAACTAAATTAATGCGTAAACTATTTAATACTTTTTTGATATGATAGCTCAGTGTCCAAGCGCTCGCCTTTAATTCAATATACTCGGGCAATGTGAGTTCGATCCCCGGTGCCGGCACCAATGAAATTGTTAATTTTAAGTGCCGAATTATCACGTGCTCAGCGGTGAAGGAAAAAATCGTGAGGAAACCTGCATGTTTTCGAAATAATAACAAAAAATATTTTGAAGATATATATATTTCGATTCCGTGGACTGTGCCCTAATACCCTCTGTATAGAGGAGCCTTTGCCCAGCAGTGGGATATGTATAGGCTGATACTTTACTTTTTTTATGATGTTATAGGACCAAAAAAATACTTTGATTGCATCGCTATAAATGCAATAAAAGCAAAGTTTATAAGACTTTGAGATCTTAGCGCGGTGAGGATATTTTAATCCGGAGGCTGGCTTGCATTTTTCGACAATATCTACACATTTTTGACTAATTCAGAAGTGAATATGTTCACTAGACCATTCGATCAAATTATGTTATGAAACATTGTTTCGCAACGATACATTGTAATAAGTATCGAAACATTATTATACTATCTATTTATTAATCTAATTAATATAATTAATTTATTTCGGGACAGTACAAATATAAATACAAATTCAAATCAATTGTGGGTGGTGGACTCATTGCTCTTCTGTATCAATCTTTCCACCAGACCCCTTCATGCCTACCGAGACAATTACAAAGCAAATCTGTTCTAATGTCAAATAGTAGAATAGAAACAAATAATTTCCTTAACGTGAATTGATTACCCACCGCGTGCTTTCGTGCTTTGACAAAGTCGCTCTGTGACTAATTTGAACAATGAGACATTTCCGAGCGATTGCGTATCGATATTTCCGTACAACTGGTACACAACAATGGTCATTGATTGATCGATTGTTCCGCAAACTCACCGTGGGGTGTTCCGCCGTCGTTGACGAGAAACAAACACCGTCGCGCCCCAATGACCCGTCCGTGGCGATGGGAGTGGCGACGGACATCGCCCACTCGAGTGTGTACCCGTCCTAATGATATTGCCAGCGGTCGGCAAACATACGAGCGACGGTAATATACCAGTAACGATCGCCGGGCGGCAGTCGACTTGAGCGGTAGATGGCAGGAGTCGGCGGCGCGGCGTAATACGTTTCTATATTGAATATTTTATTCTTATTATTGAAATAATAGATAATCATTATTGTTCTCTCTGAACGCATCCAAGAATAATAAATCTATTGCTAAGTTACATGTAACTTATAAACTAAGTCCAAGGCCTCCTTTGGTTATTAACACTTACACCGCGAATAACGATTTCATTGGTGATTGTGATTCTATATTTGTTTTTTGTCCATTATATGTTTTTTGTTTTCGATGTACGATTTTTAAATAATAAACGAAAATATGTTTGGTACTTTTTTATGTATAAAGTTGCTGCAAGCGTGCTGGCGGTTCACCTGATCTTAAGCGATAACCGCCATCCATGGACATGTGCAACAATCCATAGGGTTGCATGTACGCTGCCACCGTTTAATAAAGTGGGCTCTAAAGAAGTGTGAGACTTCCACATTGCAACGGTATTCTGTAAGGTCGTGGTACTTAACCGGACGGCCCTGCCCATTCATGCAACAGCCGAAATTGTAGCATGGTTCTACCACAGTGTTTTTCTTCCAACGAACAAATGAAAATATCCGCCGGAGATCGCTTAGATTTTTTTCTCGCAGTTACATCAAAACCAAACGGTAAGCGGCCGTCACATAATGCCTTATTTCGGATCGAGTCACCGTTAAAACCATCTGTGTTCACATATTACCATTTTCATATTTGTTTGAATCTAAATTGATGCTAGTACTTGGCAAAGGAAAGCAGTTATATCGATATCGATTAATATCCAATCCATATTTAGATTCGTATCATATGTAGAAAAGTATGTAATATTTGGATAAGCATATTTCATACATATACTTAAGTTTCATAATGATATCCTTCTCTCTTGACTCCGAGTTCCACATGCTGTAACCAATTCATGGAAAGTAATGTATACGGAGCATACATTTAACCCATTCATATGCTTTGTGACCTTTACAAATGAACTTTACGTTACAGTTTTATAGGTAAGGTTGTTCTAAAATTCTTTGTTTTGGAAAATACAATAACTCTGTAAATATTGATGTTTAAAGAACGTAAATGTTTAATACAATTTTAAAAAGTTATCCCCTATATGTGTGTTCATTTATTGTCGCGATTGTAAAGACACGCTGTATATACGTATTCATCTTTATTTTTTTATGTGAGTAGGTGGCTGATGTTAAATGATAACCACCGCCCATTGACATTTGAACACCTAAGAAGAGTCACGCTCATCAAACAAACTGACCGATCACTGTTTGTTTTTCGGTATTATATCATTAATGATACAATTTGCAGCAGCAACGGATCTATTCTCTATCACGTTTTAGATTAGTTGTTAAATATTCAGTGTGATAGTACACTAAGCTCGAGTTACACGCGGACTTCTGTGCAATGGATGCGACGTCAGAACAGTCACAGACGGAGCAAGACAGTCGTAAACCCGCGCTCTCTCGCCAGAGACGGACTCCGGTTTACGTTCGCTCCTAGCCCCGTGCACGACAATCAGCCGTTAGGATTTGGAGCGCGCATTACGTGCCTGGAAACGGGACGGCGACATTAGGGATGGTTTACGCGCTCGTAAAACCTTACGAGTCGCGCTATCTGAAATAGTTTTGTCCTGGCGTCCCGGGCTCGGCGTGCGGGGATTGTACACGAAAGAATGTCGCACGGTGCGACGGAACGGTGTTTTCAACCCTTGCGCGCTTGCGGGGTGTAATGTGACGCGACGAGAGGTGTGAGCTAATATGCTTTCTTTATTTTTATTACCCTTAGAGCTCTATGCGGCGGTAAGCAGCTGTATGATGTCTTACTTGGTGAACGCAATTGTTAAGAAAAAGGGTGTTCACATATATATATATATATATATATATATATATGTATTAAATATACCTCTCTCGCTTTTTACCTTAATACAACACTCAAGATTATAATTACGAATTAAAGTATAAAAAGTGCGTCGCGCATACGAGCGCTTGCAAGTGTTAATATGTCGTGTGTGCACTTTTGTTTTACAATAGACAATGTACGGCTTTGCCTGTACACAATCACGTTCCACGATTACTTAAGTTTCAAATGCGTGGTGGTGGCGTCACAGTCACTAGATCCCTAAAGAAATTTAGCTGTATATTCAAACGAAGACAAGTTAGAAAGCGGTAGACCCGTTAATAATTGAGGATCACAACCCGTGGACCGCTTCTACAGATGTTGCAGGCGCGTTGCCAAACATCGTACGCGTCGGCCACCTGTTACTTCACTTACGGGTCGAAAGGCAAAAGTATAAACACTTTTAATCCACGCCGGTCTTCGGCATGACCACCTCTATACTCTCATACTCTCTTCTATCAGTTTCTCAAAAGTGTGTTAAACGAAGTTCATGATTAGACATCCTACTTCAGCATCATCACCATCAGCCGGAAGGCCTCCCCCTCAGTACACCACAACGAACAAAACATTGCCGTCATCCACCGATTACCCGAGACCCTTATGACGTCGTCGCTCCACCTAGTGGGAGGCCTTTTAACACAAACACTTCTCACTTCTGGTTTGTGGGGAATAAAAATTCTCGAGTGGCGACCACTCGAAAATTTCTATTCCCCATCGGGAACTAATTCTTCGAGCTATGTTCTTCTGTATGTTTTTTTACAAAAATATGAAAATTATTACATACATACATACATGATGTTCTCGAATATGTACAGCAACGGGGGCGTTAAAATGTTTATTTGCTTAATAAGTGACCGTAAGGACTCATGTGGACCCGATCCATAGCCAGCGCGTATCGCTTGATTTTGTAACACAAATATCGTGTCTAAATCGAATGCAGAACCCCAAAAAAATCACCATGTGACGTAATAGTGTGATAGATAAAATAAGCATAATAAACTAATTCAGTTGTTGTCTCAAGACGGCAGCGCTCAACTTCTTTGCAAATTTTACTATATGAACTCCCCATTGCTACTTGGAGCCAAGTTGTCGAAATTTTCCCTTCAATATAGATTCTTGGCTTGTGAGTTTAGATAGATATTTAGTTATATGGTTTTAGTGAAGTTCGAAATTAATTACTGATTGCAAACCAAACTGACGCAACATCTAGTGTTTTATTCGGTTGTTCTAGTGTTTCAACTTTCTTTTTAATTTTAAACAATAATGAAGTGTCATTAGCAAACAGAATTATTTGACCTTATTACTACCATATATGGCAATTCTTTATTATAAACAAAAAACAGGAATGGACCGAGGATCGATTCCTGGGGAATACCCATTTGTATTAGTGAGCCCAATGACAATATGCCATTTACAACTACTTTTTGTTCCCCCTTTCGGTAACGTACTAAGAAACAAAGCACGCCATTGGCAAATTAGCGAGTACCATTAGATTTCCATAATCTAATAAGAATTGTATGTCCTACACAGCAAATGCATAGCGTCATGGAAATCTTCCCATGTCTGCAGGCTAAGCGATACTAATTCCATTCCTTCATCAATTATAGGTCTCCGTTTAAGAAATCCAAATTGGATGTCATGTGTTCTATCAATGGACTATCATGTGTTCCAGCACTATCTCAAAAACTTTGCTTAAGGCTAACAGGTCTACATAATCTACATAATGGGAGGAAACGACACAAGAATAAGGGCACACATAAAACTTTTTACGCACTCACCGCACCAAATCGTGGTGGCTGGCGGGGATCGCAAATCATCCCTTTACGGGTGCCCCGAAGGCAGTGATCAAACGGCGGAGTAACGACGAGTCGGCGGTTTTTACGCTCCTCCGTCCGTGGCAACAAAATGTTTACGCGCATAATTATTCAGGCGTCTTCCTCCGAGATGGGCCCCTAATACGTCATTATAAAGACGGCAGACGCGCGCCCGAAAAGAGTTTTACAGCGCGCAAAGGACGCTCGGGCGCTCTTATGGAGAAGGAAATGGAGAATATTTAACTACAATGCTACTTCGTGTACGCCACAATCCGTTACATGGAGTACCTTTTTACGTATACGACCCCGCCCCCCTCCCGCGCCCCCCTCGCTCTTTATTTCACACGTCATACATCGGGGCTCCGGAAACGATTTAACCCGTTTCAGGGCATAATCGAAATATGTCGAGGCGGGGATTTTCGTACGCGCGCGCTCACACAATGCCCGCCGCCGCTCTCGGCCCGTTTTTAATGGCCCATATGCGAAATGTCGCCACCGCATGATAATGACGTTCGTTCGGAGAGTTAATGTGAAAAAAGAAAAAAAAAAACCGATAACATTCCGCGTCACACCATTCGCTTGTCAGCGCTACGAATAATTTGAAAGAAAAAAAACCATTATCGATTGTTTTATAATGCAAACGTAAATCATAACACCACTGTTCGCTGACCGTAACGAGGCTCGTAAATGAAGAGCAGATAGAACCATAAACTAAACCATAGGTAATATATAACTATTATTAAGAGAAACAAACTTCATTGAACAGATCGATCATGCTACATCACGGACAATGTGTTGATAATCTTATAACGATTTTATTTTTTACATTTAGATAATAAATGGGGCATATATATTTATTGTGTGCAGTTTTATATCGATTCTTTCCCTGCCGTCTATATTGTGAACTATTGATAGATTTTGGACGGTCACGAAGCTTAAGACAAGCCATGTGAATGGAAAACGTTTCAGCTTCGACCTTGCAACATCACTATTATGACGACGATGACACATTATTTAATATTCAATTAACGACCATTCGAGATAACAGGAATAGTCTCTTTAATTTACTTAACGCAAACCATAAAATAGCCTGTGTGATCGCTACGAATTCGGCTGAAAGGTAATCAGCTGAACGGTGCAGTCGAGACTGAAAGGGGGCTTCCCTAATAAATACGCAGTTGATAAAAACGCGAAAATTAAAAAAAATAACGTGCACCACGCACTCGGATCGCACAGATACCTATATTTTACCGTATAACGAACGCATTCATCGCACGGCGGCGTCCGTAATAACATTTACGCCGCGTAAAGGATCCAAATCACGCCGCCGCCGCCGACACACGGATCGGGAATATTAATAAAGCTGAAACACACTCGCTAATCAGGGGCGCCCTTTATGCGGTCTAATTGGTTTTGAATCCGCGAGTGTTTGGAAATTACGCGCAGCGACGCTTGCAGTGCTATTAACGAGCGGCCCGCTTACCGGCTGAGTTCAGACGTGCCCGAACGGTTTTGCGCAACTTACGTCTGTATTGAGCCTTATTTTATTATCATAGTTACATACACTAGAATATGATTAAATATAACAGCGCTCCAGTGTAAAAAACGTTATTAGTAATTCTATAATGGTATTAGTCAACCTTTATTACACTCCTATTGTATTGAACGCTCACAAAGTATTTCTGCTTATTCTATTGTCACTCTGATTGTTATTTAAGAAAGATACATTACAATACAATAAGCTTTATTTGTAAAAAAAACATGGTTTTACAAATGCAACGTGATGTTATGTCATATCCTTAAGTATCGCATGTTTTTTGCTCTAGATGAGCGTACAAATATTTATTGCGCTGTTCTCAGCACCTAGATTATAACAAGTGAAAAGTTTACAGAAAAAAAGAATAAAAGAATGAAAAAGTAAAAGAAAATATATCAATAACTTAATACTATTATTAAAAACATAAGATATGTAATGCATTATTTAATATTTGTCATTTAGAAATTCACTAAGGTATAATACATTCTGTCATAAAGGATTAACATCAATTTCTTTTTAAAATCGAAAACACTTAAGGCCTTTATCTTGATTTGTATCCTATTACATATTATTGGAGCCATACAAACGACGCTATTTAAGATCAAATAAATGGGGGTATATACTTGTAGTAGTATGGAGATTTTATCTCCGAAGACAAATAACTAGATCTCATAAATTCTTAAGCGATTTCTTAGCTTTTTTTCGCACTGACATCTACACTTGAAAATTTACACTTAAACCGCGACAAATTAATTAAATCAATCCAGACGGGATCAACCTTTCTGCGAATGCAGCGATCTAACTAACTACTGCACGGATTTATCCACGGCAGCGATAAAACGGCCAAGAAGCGCGCATTCAGCGTATCCGGTCCCCGGGTGATGCGGGACAAGTGGGGAAATGGGGGCAGAATGCCAAATGGAAGCCTCTCGACTAATAAAATCCGAGCGCTCTAAATTTTTCAAAAAACCGCCTTCAGAACGTTCGCAGCCGCCTGCACTCGAAGTGTTTACGACCCCTGAAAACCATTCTAATTTACAGGAAGCGAGTTACGGCCGCCCCCAGCCGCGGTTCCGTGTGCAATCTCAACGAACAAAAAGGCGCGAAGTGAAAGGTGGCGTTTATGGGAGAGAGCTGTTCCGTCGTCGCTGGTATGATTCATGTAACGGCTGTAAAATTTCCACCAAAGCATCATGTTTCAAAGCGTTCGTAACTGATTCAAAGAGCAATGACTTTATCTCTGTAATTTAAGACAGAAAAACATTTTTAAATGATCCTTTCGTAATCTTATTGCGAAAGGTTTTTTCAATTTACGTGCAATAATTAACTAATTTATTGTAAAAGGAAAAACGAATAATCAAATATCTTTACTTTAAACTTACTATAATAATAATATAGCTTCATAGCTTGGACAGCGCGTCGTCAATTCTCGTCACGATAAGTGAAATAACTAACTCTAACCTTTTAATTTTACATTGAGAGTCATTGACTCGTCAGAACGCATTCGGATACTATTTGGCTTTAAGTGACAGGCGACTAACCCATCATCGTCGAAATCAAACGTGAAAAACACTTAATTTTTTATGAATATGGTAATAAACTAATCGTGAGAACAATTAACGCATAGCACACTTTCAACACGAGTTGAAATTATATAATAACTTTACTTTTAGCAAGAGCATTTCTCAAACTTCCCGATTACATTAACGGTGGTAGAATCACGCAGCAGCCTCGGCTGTTGCACGAATGGGCAGGCTCGTCCGGGTAAGTACCACGACCTCACAGAAGATCGGCGTAAAGTGGAAGTATAAAACTTTCGCGTTTCGTCTGGTGAGTGAGGTGGCCGGAGCCCAATTTTCAAAAGGTTGTCAACACATCTGGAACCCTAGGGTGTAGCAGATGTCCGTGGGCGGCGGTATTCACTTAACCTCAGGTGAACTGTCTGCTCGTTTGGAAACTTTTCACATAAAAAAAACATCGTGTGGCTCGCGCGCATGGCCATGTTGCATAGCGACTGCTGCTATAAATTTCATCATGCGTGGAAGTATGGCGGAATTCTTTTTAACGCTCACGCAAGGGGAAAATTAAATAACCTCTATCAACTGATGATTTCGTATGTGCGCAAACATTACACAGTGTCACATAAAAATATTTTATCAGACAATGGCGAGATCTTGCAAATGCGCGGCAGGTCGATGGATGCAGGTGGCTCAGGATCTTGCTCCGTGCATCATTTAACATCACGTGAACCGCCTATTCGCTTGCCACGTTCAAACATAAAAAAGCAATCACTACCTCCAATGGACTAAATCAGCAAAACCCTTGAGGTGTGTTACCACTCTGTTCCAACTTTAGATAGATCTGGAACGTTAGTAGTATTTCAACGGTTAGATTGATCAGGAACGAAGTAATATAAATGCTTATACTTAATGCAAAGGCGACCTGTACAAATTTGCGTGACGTCGATGGATTCAGGTAGCTCACGATCGTGCTTCGTAGCTTTGTGGAAGCGTCCATGACCAGCTGAGGACTACAACAGTTTGAAATGATTATGACGTCTTAGTAATTAACAAAAAGAAATTCATTCGTCCGAAATCATAAACATACGGACGCCATAAGTGATGAATACTCGTCGGAATTACTATGCAATACGGCACATCGGCGGCCAACAGACTTGCGGAAAACACGTAGACTCGAATGCGTACCTACATCCATGGTGTACCTACATCGGCGATTCGGACGCAATACGATCGCTTCCGAAGCGCAAACTGGGTCAATTAGGAGCGATGTTGATTGAGGTGTTCGTTATCGGTATTAGCGGTAAAGCCTACACATATTACACGTACGGCCTACGACTGAGCAAAGGCCTCTTCGGAGCGCTGGGGCTGAAACTTCGCACTATGATGTTGCCCTAGTAATAATATAGAATAGACTAGATAGGTTCACCATTATATCACTCTTTGTGTCCTAATAGTCTAGGTTAACAGACATCATATAAGTGCCTCTATAAATAATGATAGGATAATGACACAATAACAATATTAACTAGCGGTGAAAGCAACATTGTAAGCGTGACATAATCTTAACTATTAATGATGACGTGGACTTTTATTTTCTATATCTGTAATAGTTTATTTTCTTTCTTCTTTAGCTCATACGTGTTGCCGAGGGCTTGTTAAGCGTGAACTCACTGACAAAAAACAAATATTTTTAGATTAACAAAATGGTTTGACCATGTGACTAAACAAACCATTCGTATATTTTTATACCAAAAGTAGCTATATGTACTCATTCGACTAGCGCAAACATAATGGGCCATTAGCACATAAAGTTGTTACAACTTATCCAAGACAGAGCAGTTACAGGAAGACGATGGTAGGGCCACGCAGCAGCCTCGGTTTTTGCACGAATGGGCAGGCTCGTCCGGTTAAGAACCTACCACGACCTCACAGAAGACTGGCGTAAAGTGGAAGTATAATACTTTCGCGTTTCGTCCGGTGAGTGAGGTAGCCGGAGCCCAATTTTCAAAAGGTTGTCAACGCATCTGGAACCCTGCTGGGTGTAGTAGAAGTCCATGGGCGGCGGTATTCACTTATCATCACGTCAACCGTCTGTTCGCTTGGCAATTTTTCACATAAAAAAAGAAGATGGGGCCAAGGTTGTCCACATCAGCATTAGCAATAGGGTCCCGCGGACGCTGAAACAGTGCCCGCGAATAACACAATTGAGTGCGCCTCGCTGAATTACAAGTGCCGTAGGGTTAAGGGCACGTACGCACGCCAACAGGCACCGTCTCCACGGCTACTCACGTCACGATATTCAATTCGGTTTGTGAAGTGACAAACAGCCTATGTGTATGCTGCCGTCTCCACTGCTGGGGAAAGACCTCCTCTGTAAAGAGGGTATAGTGTATAATGCACCACGCGCTAAAATATGCTGGTTTCATCGTTTTATGTTTTCACTACAATTCAGTTAAAGGTAAAAAAATCCATTTTGTCTGCTTTGAATTCAGTTTCGCATTTTGTATAGTAAATATATATGTGGAAAAACAATACAAGACACATCATTCGTTTTTAAGGTATAATTCACGATACTGTGACAGGGCCACGCAACAGTTTCTGTTGTTGCACGAATGGGCAGGCTCTGGGCTATTACCACAGCCTCGCCGGAGACCGTCTTGAAGAAATGGCAATAAGGATATGACAATATTTTCAGTATTTGTATTTGCGTTTTGTCTTGTGTTAGGTTACCGGGGCTGACTTATTAAAGGTAAAAATAAAAAGATACGTAACGAATTCATTTTCAAATTTTTAGGTGTATGTTCTTATTAATATTAATTGGAAAAATTATTATGTTACGGATCTAAAGCAGATTTATTTTATACTTCTCAAACCTATTGTAATGAACAGTTGTACATTACAGTTGTAGTTTAAAAACTTTACTAAAATGAACATATTGCGAGAAAACCCTCCTTATCCTGAGATTTCCTTAATTATATTACAATTTAGAGTTGCCTCAAGGTACACTGAAAACTAATTTTGTACCATTAAGACCCTCTTTGAACTCAGAGTGACTGTGAGGAACAATGGAAACAGTTGCTAGTGCGCGCGTGCCTCTTATCGATCGTCGCTCCGGAGAAAACAAATTAACAACCCGAGCTAGAGAGCCGTCCACAGAGCAGCAACCGAGCAGAACTGACAACTATTAGTTGCGAACGGACGTAGAGATATATAACGCAACGTCTCGCCGCTGTGTACTAAACTAAACGATGCCACTCTGTAAAAGAAACTGCTCCGCATTTTAGTTGGAGAAATGACGGAGCTCACTGCACGAGGGATGCATTTGAAGATACGTTCCGACGTCCCAAAACAAAGTGGGAAGAAGTATTGCCGGAGAGAATTGCATAATACAATATTACGATAAGTGTTAAGTGAGCCGTGATGGTTGAGTGTCCGGGCGCTTTCAATTCATTATACTCGGGCAACCCGATTTCAAAACCCGTTGCCAGCATTACTGAGTGCTCAACGGTGAAGGAAAACATTGTGATGAAGCCCGCATATTTTCGAAGTGATAACACAAAAGTATATTTCGAAGATATGTGAAGTCCGCCAATCCGCAGTGGGGAAGCGACAGTGGGTACACTATGCACTGATTACCTCTGTTTAGTGGAGGCCTTTGCCTACTTTACTTTTAAGCACTTAGTATACCTAATACTTATACATAGCGCGTTTGTACTGGAAGCAAACAATAGATAGTTAACTCTCAATCAATCATGTTGTTTTACATTAAAAAGTTGACGAGCTGTATAGATAAAATACTTTTTAATGCAAGCGTTCGAACGATAACATTTTCTTTTAAAGTTTTTTATAGTGCTAATCTCTGCACTTAAGATTGAACATTAAATCCATTAATTTAATTAAATCGCTGTGGCTATCAGCCGTTTAGCTCAGTGGCTAGAGCGTCAGGCCGCGAATGCCGAAGACGTGGGTTCGATTCCCACAGCGGCGACAATCTTTTCGTACTTTTTCTACATGTTTTAATGTTCGATAACATTTTCTGTTAATATTGATCAATCATTTCAACAAATTCAGTGCTGTTATCTAATACCCATAGTACTAGCTTGGCTCGGTTTGGATAACGACGATTAAAAGCATGTCCGGAAATATTTGTTTATATTCTCAAATGGCCAGCTCGTACTGTCAAGTATAAATTTTTTTAAAATATAAATACGGTGAGATTAAGTATCAGTCTAGCTAAATCTAAAGGAGGCCCAAAACTGTGCTGTAATATACACCATGTATATTTGTGCTCACAAAGCAAGTTGTTTTGTTGGGGGTTAGTAAATTGAATAGTATTCTTTACTTTAATTTTACTGATTAATTGTAATTTTTGCCATAAGGTTTGCACGAAACTAACGCCCGGTTTCTGAAACACTTTTCATCGTAGAAGTGAACTAATCAGCTGTCAAATGGTTTTTCAATTGAATTGATCAGAATGATCTGTTTAATGATCTTTTCAACGATCTTTTTAATGATCAGAATGATCGATTCAAAGAGTTTAACAATGATTTTGGCAACGCAAATAACATTTGAAAAGCCATTTGACAGCTGATTAGTTGACTTGTACGATGATCAGTGTTTCAGAAACCGGGCGGTAGCCTTGTTAACTAAAACTTGACTGGCTGTGTGCACACAGAGAACTGTACAATATTATAATTTCTCCCGTAAAGTCGTTAGAGTTTAATGAGAGAGGTTCGTTCTATGAAGGTAAATAGCCTGCACGCTAAAAAGAAGCGTTCTGTCTATTTAGTAATCCTAGACAACGCGGGTATAATGTTGTACTGATAAGTAGGCTTGATCACGTTACATTCCCCACTCTACTATATTCCAAGGAATGTCATCATGAAACTGGCATGCGCTACGGTACCGTAAATATCGATATTATACGAATATTCTTAAGATATTGTTACCTTAATACTGTAAATACCTTAATTCTATACAAGCCGACAAGGTTGGGCAGTGATTAAAAAAATCAGAACGTTATTAAGTACAATCCATACTAACATTATAAATGCAAAAGTAACTCTGTCTGTCTCGCTTTCACTCCAAAACTACTGAACCGATTTAAATGAAATTTTCTACACAGATAGTATAAAGCCTGATTTCTCAGGCAAGTCCTTTCCGACATAGTCTATTTATAATTGGAAAAATTTTTGGAAAGAATTGAAAGATATTTATTTAAGGGTTTCAACGCGAGTGAAGCCGCTGACGAAAAGCTAGAGTTAATTATAAAACCACCATTCAATTCACAATTCATTAGAATTTTGCCATATTACAACGGTTCAAATATTTATCCATAGAATAATAGAATATTACAAGTATGTAAACAGATCACCAGATCGCAAATTAAATGATATTGTTAATGGTGTAGTCAAATTAGTCAATTGCGATTAAAATGCTTGTTGCTTAGCGATGGGCTATGTCGTCACGGGTCACTGGATTTCCCATAGTTCATATATTAAAGTTTATAAAAAATTTGTTCACGCGAAATAACTGTTTTATAAAAGATAATCTCATCTTAGAGAAGCGGTGCGTTCATTTAAATACGAAGATTAAAATAAGCTACGATTGAAATAACTTTACCGACTTTATTTTATGAAGCCTTATCCCTGATGAATTAATAATATAGTTATACGAACATTGTATAGAAAAGTAATTTATTAAAACGAACGGTTTATTAACAATTTTACGACACGCACGGCGGGGAAGACAGCTATTAAAATAATTTAATTCACGAAACAGCACGACATAAACGGTGACTTCCGAGAAACGTACAAAGCCATTGGCGTGTAGAAACATATTTCCATGTTAGATATAATAAAATACTTTCCGGTTTATTCAAAAAGGTAAGAAGAAGAAGAAGAAAAAAGTATTTTCCTTTGATCTCTGAACGTAATACAATGTATTCTGGAGCTATACTTTGGATCACCGAATCAAATTTAACGAGGTAGATAATACGTTTTAATGAGCTTATCTATAACCCGAAATGTGTCTTCTCTTACATCGGGGACAAATAGGATACAAATTTGAAACAAACAGACGGAAGATTCTTTGGCACACTGACATTCGAGCCCACTACATTGAGATCGCAAGTTCTTAAATCTAAGCCGTTTAATATAAGCATAATATTCTGGCTTCTCTCTGTTATTTGTAGTCAGCGAGCAATAAGAGATGTTTGAATTTACGGAACACATGAATTAATAAAATCTTTCGTCACTTCGTATAACGCTTTTGCATTTACTTTGATCACCACTAAATTCGACACGAAAATAAGCTGAATCAATGTCAAAGCTTTCAAGAGACGGGAGAAACTGCTCAAAGGCTGCATATAGGTGGTTCCATCACAGCAATAGGCTGATCACCTCTAGCGGCTAAGATTGAATGAGCTTTTTGTAATGTGCAATTAAGGGCTTAATAAAAAAATCTGATTAAAATTTGTAGAAAAAGGGACGAAAAGCCTTTCGTCGCCGCGTGAATCGAACCCACGTCTACCCGCTCATTTGCGCTCAGACACTAAACACTAAGCTAAGCGGCTGATTGCCGATTTTTCTACAAATTTTAACGTTCCATCTTTCAGTGCACAGAGATTAGCACTATAACATTTTTATAATTCCTAATTAACACACAAGATCGATAGTGTTTTAATATACGATTGTTTCAATACCGTTAGCCATTTTTTTGGAATTGAGCCAGAACGGTTACGGTGCACCGTCATCGGAATCTATTAGGGCGTTAAATGCCACCGTCATATCTGCCGCATCGGATGCGGAGGGGGACTTGGAAAGCTGACACATGTGGGCGATATCTCGTCCGTAGATCTATTTTATTGCTTGAGCGCAGCGTAGATCGATTCACCGCGCGCCTCGTATTCCTGCTTAACATCCTGCGCGGTAGATTGGGTATGGGATACACTTCCCGGGGGACAGGGACGAGGATTATGGCATTCACAAAGTCGGCTACTATTTGATCGCAGTAACCGCGCAGCATTCCTCGCCGCCATGTGACAGTCTGACCCGTTCTGTTTTAACTATATGTAAGTGAAGTAACCGACACCCATCTTAAAGGTGCTGTAGAAAAGTGTAAGGTTTTGGTGATATGTACATCATTATAGCACAGTCATATAATTTTTAACAAAAAAAAAACGACTTCAAACTGGTAACTAAAAAACATTGTTCATACCTATAACATTTCAGGATCGTTCTCGCTTTCTCTGGGATGCCATCATCAGATCCGGGTTTCCTTATCATGGTACCACCATTCCAACAAAAGAATCATCAAAACCGATTCATAAACGACGAAGTTATCCGCGAACATACATAAAAAAAATATATATGGTCGAATTAAGAAACCTCTTTCTTTTTTGAAGTCGGTTAAAAAGGGATCGCTTGTTAAACGGATACCGGCAACTACGGGTACATATCCTAGCATCGTGCAGTATTAAAGAAAGGGGCAGTAATCCGGACCTGATGTGAGGATTGGGCACAACGGATTCGATCCCAGCCCACCGCAGCGCGAGCTTGTGGTCGTCGAGCTGTGGTTCACGACACGCTTAGCGCTCGGTCCGTGACCGCGTCGGCGGCTCTCAAACTGTTCGCGGCACCCGATTTAACTACGGCGCCAAGTCGAAACTATTTGCGAATAAGAAGAGGCATATGGAAGCCTTGGGTTCTAATAAGTGTTGTACGTGCATAAACGTCTAATTTATTTATTAAATATGGCACCAAATAGATCTGTATCGTAAATTACTCTTTGGTGTGTCAAAATGAATTAATAAATATTGTTTTGATACGATTAAACGCTTTTGTCTGTTCAATGTTTTGTTTAATAATCTAGTAAACAATTAAACATTATTTTTGATCTACCTCAAATGTCATCGTTCTGGCTTGTAATGACTTTACAGTTGTAAAATATTTTAATTTTTTAAAGAAAAAAACATTGACAAAAAAGAGAATACCTACGGAGTTTCTTTCGCCTGTTCCTTCTCCGTTAAAAGGACCTCGTTACTAAGCGGTGTAAAAAAAATTACTATCGAAGAATGTATGTTAGATGAAATGTATAGATGAAATGTATGTTTCTTACGTCGATGGATAAATGAGTTAGATCTTTTTTTATTTCTTTATTAGAATGTAGTGAATTGATGACGTTCAAAGTAGTAACATAACATAATAATAACGCGTTTACCTGATTTTCGGATACAAACTAAAGCCCGAGTTCCGTTTACTGTGTATAATTAAAGTTAACTTGATGTACAGTGGAAATCATAGCATCAAGTAAAAAGAAAAGGTTGCAACATAAATTTTCTCAGTCACCATTGGAAAAAAGGCATTATAAATGATGTTATAAGGTTAAAACATTGAATATTAGGTTAACATTTTCTTGATTCACCAATAATAACTTACTTGAATCCAACTTGCGTAGACCGAACGTTTAAAGCGCAACGAGTAGACGCACTTACCTGAAAAAGGAGGAGAAGAAAATTCATAATTAGTCTTTCCCAAAAACATTGCACATTACTGTGCTTAGATGTATAATGAACACCGAAGTAGTGTTTGGTTTACTCTTACACAACAGAGACACAAGATACACAGATACAAATTTTCCATGTATGGATACGGCAGCAACATAAGGTACACGAAAATAGCACAAAGGAAAACATATGAGAAAACATTTGGAAAAAACGAGTGCGATACTTAACTTTGGATGTAAGAAAATCTCGAAATTTTAATCACGTCGAGTGATTATTACTTCAACTATATATACTAATAACCCTATTAGTATACAGCGTGTCGTTACCATCGCGACAATAAATGAAGACACGTCTAACGCTACTTGCCAATAATCATAAAAAAATATTAACGTTAACAAAATCCATAATTTAAAAAAACATTTTTCTAACAAACTAATTAAGTAAAAAAGAAACAAAATTTGTAACATCCTATACAACTCGTGCTACAGCGTCGCATTACAAGCCTCTCCTTCTAACAGTATGTTTTGTCTCTTTTAAATTCATTCAACCCATTCATATGCTTTGTGACCTTTACAAATGAACTTTACGTTACGCTTTTATAGTGGATGTTCTAAAATTCTTTGTTTTGGAAAATTTAATAACTCTGTAAATATTTATATTTAAAGAATTTAAATGTTTAATCCAACTTTAAAAAGTTATCCCCTATATGTGTGTCCATTTATTGTCGCGATGGTAACGACACGCTGTATATAGTTTAAGTAATATATCCATGTTCGTGGCTTCAACCACTATATTTAAAAAAAATATTCAATGAATTACTAAGTGCTTATAACCTTTAATTGTAATTCCGTGAGTGTGTTTCTATGGGTAGGACGAAGACAAATTCACACAACTGCTGCCAAGGCATGTGTCTTATTCCAACCATTTTTAAAATCTCGCGCGAACTACGGGTTGGTAGAAACACTTCCTGGGATGTAAAGCGAGGCGACCGGGTAACTGAGTTGGGACGGAGTCGTTTTCCGAAGGCTGCATAGGCCGGGCGGCCGAGGGCGGCGGAAGCGCCGTGACGTCATCGGCGGAGCTATTTCCGGCGGCCATTATCCAATCTACGGGGGGAAATTGTCGCGCGCTACACGTGTGCGCCGTGCAGAGTCGGGTCGCGAGTTTCCGCGCATAATAATGGTCGCCGCTGACAGTGGACGCCACGCCGGATCGCCAATTCCGAAACGTAAAAGGGAATCTCGGTGAACACGGGCCGGACTTTTTTTGCTTACACGCAACTCGAACTCTGCGAACCGACGTTAACGATTTATATGAAAGCTATCATATTGATTATTAAAATATTTGTAAAAGAAATAATTACAGCAGAGTTTTTCGCCGGTTTCTTTCATAGGTCCAAACGGGTACCAATCAGGGACTTTTTATTGACAACGACTCTCACGAATGTTTGAAACAGACTATAATTAATTTATCCTTTCCAACTATGGTCGTCGTATTTTTCTGACAGTCAAAAAATGATTGGGCAGACGTTGAATACATTAGTGAATATTTAACAGTTATAATAATCTAAAATCGTTTTATAGTATGAAACCCCGATGAAAACAGTAAGAAACGACGATATACTTTTTTTTACAAAAAGAAACCCACAGCGGACGCTCCAAACGGACGAGGCCGTTTGCGAGGCGGCGAGGCTTTAATTACTCCGGCCGCGTCAACGGACAGTTGTGTCAATAAGGGCGGCTTAATTAGCCCCGAACGCACGAAAAATGGCGCCGCGTCGCGAGCGAGCCAATTTAGTAATTGAAGCGATAAAACATTCTTAATTGCCGCGATGTATTACAACTCGCGGCGGAGACGACGGGGACGCGCGAGGCACCCGAGCGTCTTCGGTTAACGTGACATCGCATTTTAAAGGGTTTACAATGACATTTAAGGAGTTTTTTAGGGTTCCGTACCCAAAGGAGACCCTATTACTAAGACTCCGCTCTCTGTTTGTCTGTCTGTCTGTCTGTCCGTCTGTCACCAGGCTGTATCTCATTAACAGTGATAATTAGATAATTTAAATATTCACAGACGATGTATTTCTATTGCCGCTATAACAAAGAATTCACGCCTGTCTTCTGTGACGATCGTGTTACTATCCCGTAGGGACCTGCCCATTCGTGCAAAAGCGAAGATTGTCCGTAAGACGACATAATTATATATACGTTATTATATAAGAACAATGTATACGTTTTTACAATAAAATCTTAGGAAAAGTATCAGTAAATTTTAAAAAAATGTTATAGAACGTTTGTGTGTTAAAATCTATTGTTATATTATTTAAGGATAAAACACCGAAAATGGATAGATCGTTCCAGGCTCTTTCGAAGGGATTAACATATTTCATTATCAAATAATGTTAAAAAAATTGTATCAAGTTCTACAATAATACCGTGTTATTAATTAATAGAAAATCGTATACAATTAAGTATTTCTTTCAGCAGAAAATGTGTTTATTATGAAGTTATTTTCTACAATAATTACTTTGTATAATGGATCAAAATAACACACTGAAAATGAATTGATCGCTCCAGGCTCTTTCGAGTCGAATTTAATATATTGTAAACATGTTTCATAGTTAAATAATGTTAAACAAATTGTATCGCCGAGTTTCCTTCACCGGTTCTTCTCAGGTCAGCGGCTTTTTTTTTTACTAAATTTCAAATAGTTGTAATCGGTTATTTATTTATTTATTTATTTAATCTTTATTGCCAACCTTCAGTAAAACAAGGTAACAAAGGGCAGACTTAATGCCCAAAGGCATTCTCTACCAGTCAACCCAGGATGTGGTGAGAGTTTATGGTAGGTGCAGCAAAAGATGCAAGAATAATAAAATTTTAATTAAAGAGAATATATGAAAATAATATTATAATTGGATACAAATCATATATTAAGTTATATATATATATATATATATATACATATATATTCAAATATTTAAATATATATAAAGATGTATACTTGTATAAATAAATAACAATTAGCTTCTACTTTTAACTACAGTCCATATCTTAGGTCGAATTTGTCTTTAACAGGTGTTCACGAACCAATATTTTGAAAGATGTCTTACTTTTTGCGTTTCTTACGTTATCGGGCAAGGAGTTCCAAAGATGTATAGCTAGGATAGTAAAGGAGTTGACAGAGAACCCGGTAAAGTGCGCTGGAATGCATAATTTATTCGTGTAAGACGACCGAAGAACCCTATCATGAGATGAGGAGAGATACAAGAATTTGTTTTTGAGGTAAGAACGTGAAAGAGGTGAAGGAACAATCATTTAAAATGGAGAAAAGCACAAGCAAAATTATGGACTGCCGCCTTTGCCGAATAGTAAGCCAATTAAATTGAGATCGATAGGAGGATATGTGGTCATACTTACGTAAGCCGAAAATGAACCTGATACAGTTATTAAGGAGGCGATCCAACTTGTTTAGTAGATGTTGGGATACGTCCGGGTAACACACATCTGCATAATCGATAATGGGTAAAATGAGCGTTTGGACAAGCAAAAGTTTAGTTTTGAAAGGGAGGAAATGTTTTAAGCGATAGAGAGATCGTAAGGTGGCAGTAACTTTGCGGCTTATTTCGGTAACGTATACTTACCGAAATAAGCCGCAAAGTTCTGTCAATCAACTCCAATTCAAAGTATTGTCAATAAGCAGACCTAGATTTTTTACCACGTTTGAAAAAGGAATTATTATATTATTGTATTTTATAGGAGGTACAGACGAGTAATCAATTTTTGACAGCATTCTTGAACTACCAACAACTATAGCTTGGCATTTCGAGGGATTGACCGAAACTCCATGAGAACTTCACCAACTCCAAACTTTGTCTAGGTTTTCGTTTAATTTTACTATCGCAACATGAAGGTCGTCTATATCGGCTTGCACATAAAGCTGAAGATCGTCAGCATACAAATGATACGAACAGATCAAAAAAGCAGTAAGAAAGTTAATAAAAATAGAGAAGATTATGGGAGACAGTATGCCGCCTAGTGGCACGCCAGATTCAACATCAGCCCGAGCCGAGCTTTTTTGCCCCAAGGTAACCGACTGCTGACGCCCACGAAGATAAGATGAAAACCATTCTACAACAGAGTCTGCAAAATTAATATGGGAGAGCATGGAAAGGAGTATATTATGGTCGACTGTGTTAAAAGCGTTTGAAAAGTCCACAAGCACTAACACAGTTACCTTTTTATTTTCCATGCCTTGCCTAATGTCGTCGGTAACTTTGATTAAGGCTGTGGTAGTGCTGTGGCCAGAACGAAAACCAGACTGATAGATACTCAGTAGGTTATGTATTTAAAAATAAGGAGATTTGCTTGTGAACACAGGCTTCCAGAATTTTTGACAGAAAGGGCAGAATTGATATTGGACGGAAATGGTTCGGTTGCGTAGGATTAGGAACTTTAGGAAGAGGTCGGACATAGGCTTTCTTCCAGCAAGTAGGATATTGACCGAAATCAAGGGAATAGTTAATAATATGGGTGATTGCTGGAAGAAGATGCTCTAATAGTGAGACTATCATAAACCTGCTGATATCATCACAGCCCATAGCCTTGGACTTAATAGCTAACGCAAACTTCTTAATTTCGTTTTGATCAACAGGACTGAAATTGAATTGGGGAATTAAATAGGTTTGTAAAGACGCAATGTTTGATATAGCTTGAGAGCGGATTCCGGGGTCCATGGCAGACGTAGAAGAAAAATGTCGGTTCATATCATCTAGAGAAAGAGCAAAGACACATTCCGACATTGCTGGTTTACCAATACCGACAGATTTAAGGAATTTCCAAACATTAGCAGATGATGAATTAACAATATTATTATGAAAATATCGGCGTTTAGCTGTCCGTACCATTTGGTTGCACCTGTTCCTAGCTATCTTAAATATAGACCAATTATCCTCAGTGCGATTCCTTTTGAACCGACAAAAGGCCCGATTCCGTTTCGCCATTGCCATCCTTACTTCTTCAGTCATCCAAGGAGAGGGAGGGCGTTTTAATCTAACATTATGTGCTGGAGCATGAGTATCATACAGTTTAAGAACCATGTTGTTGAGAATAGAGACTTTTTCATCAACTGTAGATGCTGCTACCAGTGCTGTAAAATTAAAATTTGAAGCATCACGCATGAATACCTCAAAGTTTATCCTGGAAAAACTGCGTAGATGTAGGATAGGAGGGCTGTATTTGGGAGGTTTAAGCTTATAAGAAGAAAATATAAGGTCATGACGCGAGAACTCCGACGCAGAAAATTGACCATATGTCTCCACATGATCAGGAGAAGCAGTTATAATAAGGTCAATCAAGGAGTCATCAGTGCCAATGTTACGGTGAGTAGCCCTAAGAGGGAGTATAGAAAGATTAACTGACTCAATGATTGTGTGAAGTTTATGAGAACGAGGGGAGCTTTTTAAAAGATCAGTATTTAAATCACCCATTATCATGCAGTGTGAGTACTCGGAACAGATACTCTCGAGAGCCGTTTCTAAAGAGGAGAAGTAGTCAGAAGCAGGTGGACAATACACAACTCCGAGAATCATCCTTGTCCCCTTTAGTTCTATTTCGACAAATAAGAACTCTGCGGAGGCAGAATAACGTGATGGAGATGTCAGCACAACTCTATTCGTAATAGATGCATGCAAATAGATAGCTACACCTCCTCCTCCTTTCTCCGTGCGATCGTTGCGTATAAGCACGAAACCAGATAACGGATAGAATGTTGATTGCAAGGAAGGCTTGAGCCAACTTTCGGACACTAGAACTGCGTGTATGCAGTCAGGAGTAAACGATGTTTTAAGTTTAGAGAAATGGCTCGGAACACTTTGAGCATTGATATGACATATATTTAAAAACTTATCCCTAGAAGAGAAAACTTGAATGAGTTGCTCATGTAGATTCAATGGACTATTATTTGTAAGACTATCACATGAATTGTACGAGAGGTCTGAATCAGAAGCCGAATAATATGATTCCGAATCGGTCATAATTATAATAATATCTAGCTATATATATTTATATATAAAAATATAAAAGAACAGAATAATAAGTAAATATGTAAAAAAATAAAATAAAAAAATTGGTAATAATAATTATAAAGTTTTTCGAATTAATTACAGAATACATGGTGTATTCTGTAATTAATTCGAAAAACTCAGTTCCTCCTACTGTTGAAAAATCATGACTAATATAAAATAACAAGAAAAAAACAGAATATTACAATCATGTTAAAATAACAGACAAAAAACAAGTAAAAATATTTAAATTAAAGGACCACAACTTGAAGACTTTATACACAAAGTATTGTCATTATTCCATTGACATCAGAGAAAGAAACCAGTGACAGAATACGAAATGTCAATGTCATTGTCAATTGCTAAGTAGGTTGTAATATTTACTTGCGGGGTTCGCATTTATTGTTTACATTCGTATAAAAAATAGAAAGTTATGTCATGTTATTAAAAGTGATATTAACTTTTAAGCACATTAGAGTACCATTTTGCTAAAACTGAAAGACACTGGCAAAAACGTGGATTACATTCAGTTTCAAATACAAAGGTGCACAATTACAATCATGAGCAATGTGATAAATCATAGATATGAATACGAATTGGGCAAAACTAAAGAGAAAAGAGCCAAAACAATTTTAAAAAAATGGTACAGTAAAATTATTTCTATAGTACAAAAGGACAATTGAATCTCAGGGTGAAAACTATAAAAAAAATTTATATATATATATATATATATATATATATATATATATATATATATATAATAATTACAAAAACACTGACAAAAATATCAAAAAGCCCTTAGTAAGCTCTTACATAAAAATACCTTAGGAGGCTATTAATGGTTTAAAATTAGAATGATTATGGTAATGCTGTAAAGTTAGTTGCGAAGCAATATCAATAGTTACATACTCTATAAATAGTTCAATTAATTCTTCTAAGTTTTAATTTGTAGCCACTTGACTCTTTTCTGAAAAGCATTGTTATATCTTCATTCATTATTAAGTTATTAAAATTTTAAGAACGATTTATAAAAGCACTATGTGTTACTTACTACGTTATCGTGTTCGTGTAGGAGTAATTGTCTATCTAAACAGACTATTATATTTAACTTACAATACATTTATCTTTTAACGAAGAAATTCGACAGAAAACTGTATTAGACAAACATGAAAACAGGGAGAAGCAATAATCGTAATGATTGCAACCCATCTAGATCTAAACAGCAAAAACTCATGCTACCTGAAAATATTATAGCATGTTTTTTTTGTATTTACACTGGAAATGAAAATTTTAAAGAAGATTTTTATATAACAATGGCACAAACGAATCCGCTATCTTAAACTATTTAGATAATAAAACTTAACCGAGTTAAATTCAAAATCCCAAATACTATTACTGTATTTGTGTTATTCGTATTTATTTTCGATCCCTCTGATATCTAATTACAAGCAGTGGGACGAAATCGATGGCTTGTTTTTGTAACCTAAAACTTGTCTAATTACAGACGGTGCTGTGTACAGCCTCGGGCGAAGTGACTAATGATAACAAATATAGCCTGTGTATTTGCTAAAATAGCCACTAAACTAGATACGAAACATATATGCGATGGACCAGTATCCGTTACTTATAAGAATGTGCACGAAAACAGTGTTATTCATTAAAAGAAAACATCGTATACAATTAAGTATTTCTTTCAGCAGAAAATGTGATTATTGTTAAGTTATTTTGTACAATAATTACTTTCTATAATGGACCAAAATGCTGGCTTACAATCTATACAATATGTTTATTTTTTTTTCTTGGATACAAGCTAGCAATCTCGTAAGACAATCTCTCATTATATCTATATTATGATTATTATACCTATAAAACTCTGTGGAGGTAAAAAAAATAATATTTTTTTGAATGATTGTGTATTGGATATATATATACGTACCAGAGGCAAGATAGAACTTTCGTAACACTTACTTCACGAACAGGAAGATTCCTACGACACTCAGAGGTTTTTTTTTTACAGAAAATAGGAAAAATTAGGAATTAATCATTATTTCTCATCATCCCTTAATATTTAAGCTTAACACGCTTAACAGCTTGAATTGTTTGGGTTGATCCCAGCCGTTGAATTTTACCATCGGACATCGCGGCCAAAACCTGATACCACAAGCGCGATTTTCAAGGCATTTTCTTCCCCGCACAACCACTCTATGGAACCGGCTGTCGCCAGTCTTACCGAACCTTTGTTTCCTGGGAACCTCGAAGATCATCTTCTCTTCTAAAGTAACTTCGTTCAACCCACAATATAAGGCCTGTTCTCTAAAACCATTTTCAATAAATTTTGAATCGCATAAACCCTCAATATTTCTGTAATCGAATTAGGCTTGTTACAAAATTTTTTACGCTTCTAGACCACGTCACTTCAAAAAATCAAATATAGAATTTCTTCACGGCTCGTTCGTCAAAGAGGATAATTAAAACGCGTATTGCTTACGATTGATAAGGCCGCGTCGCCGCATCTCGGGGGGTCCCCGTGCGACGCAAATCCAATCTTCACCTGCGTGGAGGGCATAACGGAATAATATTGGCCCTAACAACCGATGGGGAAGTTTCGATTATGGGCGAATTAAAATATCGAACCCCCAGTTTGCGGAGTTATTTTAATGTGTCGTCCCGTTGCGGTGGTTAGATATAAGCCGCCACCACATCCTGGGTTGACTTATAGAGAATGCTATTAGGCATTAAGTTCGTCCTTTGTAACCTTATCTTACTTAAGGTTGGCAATAAAGATTAAATAAAAAAAATCAGTAAAATAAACCCCGAAAAAAAAGTATGTTCAAATAACTAAACCAACTATAGAATAAGAGCAAAAAGACTGGTATTCGGGCGAATCACACAACTGCGCGGTTTGAAATATTCTGCGTATATCAAGTATTATTAACCCTATGTATTTAAAACAGAAAAATTGGGTAAATTTTGGTTTTTCACCTCTACGGTGCCCACACAATACTGTGCTCTCACAAAAACTAACAAAACATTAATAAGTCACATGAAAACGTTTTAACTAAACTAATTAATTCCCCCAAACATATCTATACATAGTATATAATAATTTCATATAATAATACCAATTATTACATGATGTATGTTTCTTCAAACAATTTAATTGATAATAATATCGAATTAAAATATGTAGGTATATGCCAAAACCTCACCCGAAGCAATTAAATCGCTATGTCAGAAAACACTAGATCAACCCTAAAGATAAATAGCCCAGCCCCAGCTTCAAATATCTAATGATCATAAAATCGTCACCATACATTTTCGATTTGATTTTGGGAACTTCCTTGATGTTCCTCCGTAGTCCAAGGTTCAATAGCAGTAAAATTAATCGGACCCATTGCAAAAGTAATTTCTAAAATCGTTTCATAAATGACGTGGTAATAGACTAAACAACAACAATCGAGCAATAATCGAACAACGAATCGAGGGCCTCCTCCTTTTTGGAGGTCTGTTGATAACTTAAATGATTATCGATAGAAGAGATGTAAGTTTCTTATGTCGGTGAATAAATGATTTTGATTTTGAACTATTAGAAACATGATAAAACCGAATCACCCTGTACATGCGAGGAGGGTCGAACGGGCGTGCATTAACGCGAGCGCGCTCGTCGGGGCCCTCCTAGTCGCGTTTATTAGCGCCGAGTTTTTCAGCCCGCCGGCCGCCGCGCCCCGGCTGCCCATCCGCGATAATCGAATGCCGCCCAACGACTCCGGCCAATCGAGAAATACGCTCCTAATCCAATAGCAATAACCGCTCGCTCCGATGCACCCCGGATACGTTCGTTCCCCGGTTACGTTTGTTCCCCGGATACGTTTGTCCCCCGGATACGTTTGTCCCCCGGATACGTTTGTCCCCCGGTACGGATAATTTGTGACACGTAGATTGAGCTCGAAACGCCTTAATTATGTTAGTGATTGCTTAATTTTAATTTCTAATGGGACTTCCTCTAGGTTTTAACGAGCCGTCCGTAAGTTCGTTAGTAAGCTGAAGTGGCAATGGGCCGGCCGTATAGCTCGAAGAATCGATAAACGATGAGGAAGAAAGTTTTTCGAGTGGCAGCCTCGTAGTGCAGGACGACCCCCTACCAGATGGAGTGACGATCTCTGCGAATGTGCGGGGAAGTCGATGCATGCAGGTGGCTCATGGTGGCTCATGGTGGATGCAGCCTATGTACAGCAGTGGACACTAACACGCTGACGATGATAATGATAAAGACGTTAGAATTTTTCTGGTGGTATCCTATTTAGAGTTCTTTCATAACAATTTAAAATATACCTATTTTCATAGACGAGTGATAATGTTTTCTCATTTACCTAATTGCTCTACGGACAAAAATTATCACCAACGAGCTTACCGCCTGTAAACTCAAGGGTTTGCCCAAAGAAACCGGATAGCATAAACTAAGATGCATTTGTCCAGTAGAGGTCGAAATCGTAAGAGGTTGCATATAACGTTGACTGTAGCAAATTACCTAAGGCTTCTTCGAAATTAAATCTATAAATAACGATAAATGATTCAAAAATAGGGCGCGATCGTCACCGACAGAACAACGCCATCGATAGTTCAGCACCTCCTCATCTTATTTATTGGGTGACGTTTACGCTTTCCGCCATAGGGATATGACTTCAAAGAAAAGGTAATCGGATACAGAGCCTACGAGAGGTATATGTATGCTTGTGCCTTGTAAATTTGGTTAAAGTACGAAGCCCGTCGAAACCGCGGCCGCGACATCACATCAACACATAGTATAACACAAAGTCGTCCCGCTGTCTGTCTGTGCCGATGTATGCTTAGATATTTAAATCTACGCAACGGATCTCGATGCCGTTTTTTTTTTTACTAGATAGAGTGATTCGAGAGGATGGTAAATAATCGTATGTATAATACATTAAACTCGTGCGAAGCCGGGGCGGGTCGCTAATAAGGACATAAGTCGATTACCACAAGCGAGCGCGAACGGCCCAGGACCGCGGGTGTGTATTGTCTGCGTTTAGCGCGAAGTACCTTAGCAATACAGGTCGCATTGCTGAACTGTCCACCTTCAGCTACGCGATAGAGTCCCGTGAGAGGAACGGTTGAGTGAACCGAGGTCCGAGCAGCCAGAGGAATGGCAACGACGCTAAGTGCTGTCGCCGAGTCGTATTTACGACCGTGGCGTACTTAACGTCGACGATAAATAAAATTAAAAAGTTCCCGATGCAGCAGGGTTGTTACGACTACAGACGTCGTGAGGGATTTATTTCGTGTTTTTTCGCGTCATACGACCCGCCAGCGCCGGTCCGCAACATATGTATATATACTTTATGCACGATATTGACACATTAATTTAATTGAACCGCAACTCATCCATATATTGAGCGTTTACTATAAGTCGGACTAACAGTACTTTTTATCTTTAAAACTGCCAATTAAAATTTCGTACTAACCCCATATTGATTTTTATTTAGGCATATTCACGGGTTTATCGCGTTTATTTTAAATTTCATTTTCCTACGTTTCGAACCCTTCTTGGATTCGGGACAGAATGAGACGTTGGACGGCTAAATGTCATGGTGGGCCGGGTTATCGTCAGTTTTAAATTATTAATTTAAAAATGTAATATTAAGACATAATGTAAACAGTTATTGATGGGCCTTTTAGAAATAAAAAAATAAATAAATAGACGCGATAAATCCGCGGTATACATAATTTCATACAGTAATGTGTAATCAGGTAAATACAATAAATTATCAAACTTATTCAAATTGCAGCCATATCATGGAATCACTGAATCACAGGGCACGCATTGACAGTCATCATCATCATCATCATTTCAGACTGTTTGGGTCCACTGCTGAACATAGGCCTCCCACATAGACTGCCACGAAGCACGACCCTGGGCCACCTGTATATACCGACAGTAAATAAGAAAAACAGTAAATATAACAAAACATCCATTTTGAACTATTTTTAATTGAAACCCTCAGTAATTACATGCGCGGGCCGATGTATAAATGTTGAATAACTCCACTAAAGACCCCACAATGAGGCGTACCTTTAACTACCCAGTCCACTCCAGCATAGACTGAAGCGAATTTCATTTCTACGTCGCCCGAACGCTCTCCTTTTGATCCCGGGCGAAATTCTAAAATGAACCCACTACAGTGTGAACGCTCGCGGAGTAATTAATCTCGGAATATAACTCTTTTGATGTACAAAGGCTGTGCGGTCAGATGGTTATTTATTGTTTTTAATCCCATCAACGTACAACAGAGTCGAGTTTTGGGTCGTTTAAATAGCGAATCATCCGCTTACGATTAACTTGGTTGTTACGATAAGGTCAAGTGGGATTAAGCAAAAATAGAATTTCAATATTCAAAGTTACAGGCCTGGTTATGAAGCAAGCTAAACAATTTAAAGCGAAATACATTCCAGAGCTCATGACATTATTCCGCGTACGGAAGTTTTGTTCTGAAAACATCTATATGTACATACAAAATATATACAATCGTATACATATATAAACGTGTCACACAACGAGGAGGCACACCTTTTTAATCTCTGTCATATATCCATATTTAAATATACATGCTCATCGGTTATAGGTACTAATTACGCCGGCCCTGCAACATTATAATTGAAAATGCTATGAATCAATGCAAGGTAATAATTATGGCGCACAAAAGCAATTAATTGAAGAATAGCCGACCGAGTGAACATGACTTTACTACAAACGAAAATTGCACCTATATGCTTTATGCATTTTTGACCGTTATTTCTAGAAAATTACGACATCAAAGGCTCAATGATATCATAGCATTGCACTGCAAATCCTACAGTCTTCCTTCCGACTACGCTCCACAAATTATTTGGTACATCTGAAGGTACTACTGCTACTCATGGTCAGTGTACCGGGAGATATTACCAATTTCGCGATTAGGGTCTGATCTGATCGCCTCTTTCGACAGAAGAGACGAAAAAAGCTAGAGACCTGAACGCGGGTCGCATGTGAACTGCGCCTAACAATTTCTCAATCGGGCGCGCTACTCATAATCCGAACGCTACGGCAAATCGGATAGCGCGCCGTCGGCAAATGAACTTGCTGATCAAACGTATAACTGAGTTACCGTGACCCACTCACTGCAGGATTTTAATTCCGTTCCGAGCGCGAGTGTGCTCCGCGCGACTGCAGAAATTCTCCTGATGCGAAGTGTATTGGGCGTCACAAATTTTTAAGATTTAACATATTAAGCACATGCACGAATGCATTTACAGTTTATTTATATCCATGCCTCCTTAAAGAAATCGTAGATTATTGTCAGGTTTTTTTCATGCGAGAACGTGGTAAGCGAGCCGTTCACCTGATAAGTTGTAACTTTTACCGCCCCCAGCCATGGGTTAGCTAAAAACACAGTCGACGGCCATCGGGGTCCCGGTCCGAACCGCAACCTCGATGGCCCTTAGATGACATACCATAGTTAAACGCACGCATGAGCACTTATGCGGCCCTACCCACAACGTAGGGCCCAAACCCGTGGGTTCCGGCTAGCCCACCGGTTTTGCGTCAAAAAGCAAAAACATCACCTAATATACGATACAAGAAGTTGTAACCGCCCATGGACATTTGCAACGTCCGTAGGGGTGCAAATGTGCTGTCACCTTTTAGTAAAGCGAACTTAGAAGTATACCATTTCCACTTCATATCAGTTTTCTGTAAGGCCATGGTACTTTCCCGAACGAGCCTGCCCATTCACGTAACAGCGTAGACTGCTACGTGGCCCGAGCACAATAAACCATATACTGACATTTATTTATTATTGTAATGTGTTCCGTTTATGAAATCCAGTCGCTTCGCCTAATGGCGCTCATGACTGGGTGTCGCAATTGTTAAGCCATTAGCATTGGCACCACGGGTCGTAGGTACGACACGGGACAAATATTTGTGTGATCTACCAACAATTGTTCCGGACCTGAGTGTTTATTGCCAAGTATACACTAGTACACAATACCCTCGGGTGTTGCGGGTATTCATGGGCGGCGGTAATCACTTACCATTAGGTGAGCCTCCTGCTCGTTTGCCCCTTTCCTCCATAAAAAAAAATAATATTAATATTTACGTTGCAGCTTGCTAGGGGTGTACAATGTACGCAAGACAACGTTGTACTTTATTGCTAGAAGCGCACGATACTTGGTTCGTCTTACCGCAGACGATAATTATTATAAGTTGTTTCTTTTTAAATTCAAAATCTGTCCATAACCTTGGCCCAGCGTCGTAAGCCGCCAACTCCGACGTATGCTCTAGATGAAATAGGCTAACCACTGCCAATATCACGCCATTGAACTCATTTGAGCTCAATACTTTAATTATAAAGGTTAAATAAAGAGAAGACTACTTTAATATGTATAATATTCGCGTAAAATCGAGAAAACAATAAATAAAGAGGTTTTTATTTTTGAATCAAAGTATTTATATTTCTTCAAATTTATTGATAAAGCTACATTTCGTAGAGTGCTTCAACTGCTAGATTAAAGTTATAAATGAATAAAGTACCATCTCCTAAATTTGATCTATTATATGTGTAATTGTTGATGACGTTCAACACCTTTTGAAGAAGTGTGTCCGAGACGAATAATTTTGTGTGTCTTGTTTTGTTCGTGGTGCCTCCAAAGATGTTGAATACCTAAACCTTATCTCGGCCTA